ACCCTATTCTTTTTACATACCCGTGTAAAAGTAGCGTGATGTTTATTTGACCTCAATGGTCTAGCAGTTTAGCACACCGCTTTACGTCTAATGGTCGCGGGTTTAATTCCTCGCACGGTACAAACATTTGTATTCATCAGTATGACTGTTTGTATCTGGGTGTTTTATATGTATTTATAAAAAAAAATATCAGAAAAGTCAACCTAAAGAAATCCGGTTAGTTAAAGTATATTTGAATCTTCAATATTGAGTATATTCACTTATCTCCAAGAAGTCAAAACCACGATTCCACATTCAATATGCATTTATATATTCAGATTGCATACGTTACAGATAACAATACAGGCTAAAGGCCTTTGAGGGTCACTGGCCACTGGCTACTGACCTGACCATCCTTGCTAAGTGTGACCCTCCGCATTAAAATTGATCAAAGTAAGTTTTATTCAGAGCACCTCTATAACCTTATCACTGTGTGTGTCCCATACGCAACAGAATTGTGGCGAGAGGAAGGGATTGTTTTTTTTATGGATGATAATGGAATGGTGCACCCGCCTGCGCTGACGGTTTACGCTGGCGGGGCACCAGTGGAGGATGATAAGGTGAACATGAGGTCAGGTCAGTTAGCCCAACGTGACAAATTCACCAGAAATTTATCACGATGGTTTCCAGGGGGAACCGCGTGGAGGTCAACCTGACATGGTACCTTGCTAGCAATGGGGCCATGAGTCCAGTCCCCTTCCCCCCGGAAGGGGAAACTGGCTTTAAATAAACTGGCTTTTAAAAAAAAAAATATTGAGTATCTTGCCAGTTCTTCTCAATTTAATCTGTGTACTGAACTGGACGGTAGAGAAAAAATTGAATATAAAAACGTTCATATGCAGCTAAAATGTCCTACAAGAATAAATAATTTTTGAATTTGAAATAATTACTCTATTGCTAGCAATGTACCAAGTTAGGTAGACCTCCACTCGATTCACCTGGAAACTATAGTGATGATCTCCCGGTGAGAAACGTCGAGAGACCTTTATTTGCCGTAAAATTAGTTGGTGTTAAGACCCGGTTAATAATATAAATAATGTATATTAAACACGAAGTTTAAAAATATCTACTAATATATATTCATCATCATCGCAGCCCGGAAGACGTCCACTGCTGGACATAGGCCTCCCCCAAAGATCTCCACGACGATCGGTCCTGCGCTGCTCGCATCCAATGCCTTCCAGCGATCTTGACCAGATCGTCGGTCCACCTTGCTGGAGGCCTTCCCACGCTGCGTCTTCCGGTCCGAGGTCGCCAGTCGAGGACTTTACTGCCCCAACGACCAACTGTCCTACGAGCTATGTGCCCTGCCCATTGCCACTTCAGAGTCGCAATTCTCCGGGCTATGTCGGTCACTCTGGTTCTTCTGCGGATCTCCTCATTTCTGATTCGATCACGCAGAGTAACTCCGAGCATAGCCCTCTCCATTGCCCTCTGAGTGACTCTGAGCTTGTTGATGGGGCCCATAGTTAGCGACCACCATATATTAAGTTTTTTAAATTCAGACGCCTATGCAATGAGTGTTTCTTAGTGTTGACAGAGATTAAATGACACGAAATCTGTCATCATCTGTGATGAGTAGGGATAATCGAGATGATCCGCCGGTCAGCCGAAACTAGCCCCTGCAGTTTAACCAATGGGGATGCGATATCATACCTACTTGATAGTAAATGTGAGAGTAGTGTTCAATACGAGGGTTCTTTATCACTACATAGTATAAAACAAAGTCGCTGTCGCTGTCTGTCCGTCCCTATGTATGCTTAAATCTTTAAAACTACGCAACGGATTTTGAAGCGGTTTTCTTTAGTAGATAGAGTGATTCTAGAGGAAGGTTTATATATATAATACATGTACACCGAGGCGAGTAGCTAGTAAAATATAAATGCGAGGACAGATCGTCAGACAGATGTAAAGTTAGATATATCTCTCAACATTATTGATGCTTATTATTTTCTTTCTTGCAATAAGCAATATTTGAGCAAATAAACAAGTGAATTAAATAACTTGATCTGCTTGATTTTATTTCGCTTCAAACAATAAATATGTTATTTTTACTAGCTGTCCCGGCAAACGTTGTTTTGCCATATAAATTAATAACGCTAATAAAAAATAGCGGTTGGTGATTGAAGGGTGAAAATTTAGGGTTGTATGTATTTTTTAATGACACATAATAAAAATATATACATAAAAAATAATGTTAGCGGTAGACATAAGGGTTGTCACTTAGGGATATGAAAAATAGATAGTAGCCGATTCTCAGACCTGCCTATACATGTACCTGTGCGAAACCGGGGCGAGTAGCTAGTATAATGTAGAAAGAACCTTGAGTTCATATAATGTTACTAGAAATATACGGGGATTGTTAGTAATGTGGACTCTGGCCCTATTGCTAGCAATGTACCATGTCAGGTTGACCTCCACGCGGTACCCCCTGGAAACCGTCATGATAAATTTCTGGAAAATTTATCACGATGGGCTAACTAATCTGACCTCATGCTCATCATATCATCCTTCACTGGTGCCCCGCCAGCGTAAACCGTTAGCACAAGCGGGTGCACCATTCCATTATCAACCATAAGAAAAATATTATAAATGCGAAAGTTTATGTATAAGGATGTATGGATGGATGGATGTTTGTAACTCGTCCACCCAAAAACTACTTTAAACAACTATTTTTATTGGAGTTTCCAACAAATACTACAGAATTGGTAGGCTCCCATTTAATCTGTTCTTGAAATTCTGTATCTTATTGGTTTATAGAACTTATATATAATCTTTTTTTTTTTGTTAAATGCGAAAGTTGCAAATTTATCCACAGTAATCTGATGGCAATGTATTTATTATCGACTGTACTTTGTCTGCACACTTACTTGACATTTAGCATTATATTTCGCACAATATAATTAATATATCTTTTCAAAATTCAAAATTCAAAATATCTTTATTCATGTAAGTCTATTGTAGACTCTTATGATATGTCAAATCTACCGTCAGTCCGGAGTGATTTCGAGATGAGAAGAACTGACAAGAATATACTGTTGTAAGTTTGACGCGGTCATTATTTATAAGTAGATATAATTAGTAAATCACAGGATCTTACCACGTTTTATTTTTGTTGAGTTCCCGATATTTCGGCAGTGTTTCAACGGCCGTGATCACGGGTAAACTGAAGAGCAGCGGGTCAAGAAACTCCGCTTGTATTCTTTTCAAATAAATGTTATACATATTTACAATAATACATTTTTAAATTCAAATTTGTGAGAATAGACTGACTTTAAATTACAGCGTATGTTATACTGATGTGTAAGCTATATTACTGTAAAGTTTACCAATATCCGTTCAGTAGTTTTTGCGTGAAAGAGTAACAAACATCCATCCATACTAACAAACTTTCGCGTTTATAATATTAACAATATTAGGGTGGAATATCCACATGGTAAATGCCGCAGTATAAGTCTAGCTTGACTAGTACATTGAATTCAAAGTCATGTATAAATTATTTAAACAATATATAAATTTACTACGGAACCCTAAACAGCCCCACGTCTAAACTCAACTAACACAAGAGCACTCTCCCGTTCACTAAGATGGATTGTCAGTCGGTCTGTTTGTCCGCCGTGTTGAGGCTCCGTGATCGATATGGCTATTGACCCTCTAAAAGTAACCCTTTGTTGTGTAACTGAAGGGAATAGAAACCCCCACAAGAATGACGTCACTCAATTATGACCTCATATTGACGGCCTCGGTGGTGTAGTGGTTAAGTATACGCTTTACGTAAAATTGTCGCGGGTTCGATTCCTCGCACGGTATAAACATTTGTATTCATGAGTATGATTGTATTGGTTTAGATGTTTTATATGTATATGACGTATGTAAAACAAAATGTATTTCAGTATTCTAACTGTAGTACCCATAACACAAGATTTACTTACCGTGGGACTAAATGGCGGTGTGATAATTTTCCAAGCTTTTTTATTTATTTATTTAATAATCTGCTATATATGGTTGGCGCATTAGTCGCTTTTTCTTCTTCTCATCTTGGGACTAGAAGTAACTGTAAAGTAACTTTAATTTTGGTTTTATTGATATGCACATATAAATAAAACACACCTATAACAAAACATTATTATGAAATAAACAAAACCAATCTATTCATTTAGCATGTCTAATGTAACAGATAGACGGACACAGAAATCTACAAAAACATATAAACTATGAAAAAGTATCCGCACCTTCTTTGATATAAAAAATAGCTAGAAACAAGATTATTAAATACTAACTGTGCCTGTGAATTTATAGCCTATATATACTTTGATGTACGAGTACCCACTACCCATATGGGTATATATACGACCTCGGTGGTTTAGCGGTCAAGCACACCGCTTTACGACCGATGGTCGCGGGTTCGATTCCTCCCACGGCACAAACATTTGTATTCATGAGTATGATTGTTTGTATCGGTCTGGGTGTTTTCTATGTATAATATGTATGTATTTACAAAAAAAAACATATCTATGTATATGTATCAGTTATCTAGTACCCATAACACAAGCTCTAGCTGGCTTAACTTGGGTCTAGATGGCGCTGTGTGAATTGTTCTGAGACTATTATTATTATTATTATTATATATATATATATGCTGTATTATTATAAAGATTAATTAAAATCCATTCAACCACCTTTTACGTGAAAGAGTAACAAACATCCAGCCAACAAATTTCTACGTTTACGAGTCTATATGTTGTTGTAATTTATAAGCTATATTCTTGTAAAGTTTTATCAAAATCCGTTCAGTAGTTTGCGTAAAAGAGTAACAAATATATTTATACGCACAAACTTTCACGTTTAAAATTATTATATAATAAATTATAATGTAAAATTATTTTAGTAAGAAGAGAAGAACTAGATCCATTAAATAAAACGATTGAATTGTAAGTTCAATACTTTTATATATAAGACGCTTAATTTGTTAATATATCCATATAAGTATTCATTCCTTTAAAAATACATTATTATTTATTTTTACGACTTATTTCCGCTTCACGATCTCGCCGGGCGGTGTATCGACTTTCTCAGACGAAATCTCGTACTGTGTTTCCAATCTGAAAATAATATTCATTTCCTTATTAAATAAATACAACAATAAAAATAGCCGTAGGGCAATATTGGTGCCTATGCTGTTAATAATATAAATGACGTAGTGGAGTAACTTGAAACAGTCATGCTCGCTATAAAGTTCAAACTTGTGACGGCATGGTGGGACGGGTCGATGTGATGTCTAATATGGTTGAGTGCAATGATGGCTGGCTCTCCGTCATAGTCGTGAATGGGTGCTGCATGTGGGGACTGGTTCTGAACAGTGATTATAATAATAATAATAATAATAATCTCAGGACAATTCACACAGAGCTATCTAGACTCAAGTTAAGCTAGCTAGAGCTTGTGTTATGGGTACTAGATAACTGATACAAACACATAGATATTTTTTTTTTGTAAATACATACATATTATACATAGAAAACACCCAGACCGATACAAACAATCATACTCATGAATATAAATGTTTGTGCCGTGCGAGGAATCGAACCCGCGACCATCGGTCGTAAAGCGGTGTACTTGACCGCTAGACCACCGAGGTCGTCAACTAGATTAGATTTTTTACTTTTGCAATAGCATATGCTGGTGGTCACTCTATTCTCACAAATTTGAATTTAAAATGTCTGTATTATTGTAAACATGTACAAACATTTGTTTGTAAAGAATACGAGCTGTGTTTCTAGTCAGTTCTTCTCATCTCGAAATAATTCCGAAGAATGATTTCGAGATGAGAAGAAGAGTCTGTTACAGACTCTTATGATATGTCAAATCTACCGTCAGTTCGGAATGATTTCGAGATGAGAAGAACTGACTAGAAACACAGCTCGTATTCTTTTCATTTGAATAACAATATTTTTAATTTCAATTTGAATTTAATGGACTGTGTGAAAAATGATATGGTAAGAAAGGGAGTAAATGACGAGAACAATGAAATGACTTCTAACAGGGATGAATGACAGAGAAAAACATATTACGCCGACCCCAAATAAATGGGATAAGGAAGAAACTGATGATGATACTAAGAAATTCGTGAGTTCTGTTCTGGCCGACACTAAAAAAACCGGCCACAACGCTCATGACTTAGTCAAGACTCAAGACTTAGTATAGTGTGGTTGAGGTCGGCGTCTTCGCCAGCGAGGACGGTGTCGTGTTTTTGTGTTGTAAAGTCATAGGTACGGAACCGGTGGACAGTTAGGAAGGTATGCTGCCATTATGGTGTCATCGAGATTGACTTACTTCCATGGTCGCGTGTTCGATTCTTTGCGTAGTACAAATATTTGTAATATCGAAAATGATTGTTTGTATTAGTTTTAGTGTTTTATATGTAGGTATATTAAGTACATATTTACAAAAAGTAAGTATTTATATCAGTTGTCTAGTACCCATAACACAAGCTCCGCTTAGCGTGGTACTAGATGGCGCTATGTGTATTGTACAGGAATATTATTATTTTTATATCTAAAGAAAACGGCACTGGAATATTCCAAAGTGGCCATGCCAGGCCATTGGTCTACAGCGGCCGCATAATCACGCGGTGTTTGAACGATTGATGTGAAGGTGATTTGTAGATTTGCCGCGCGGGAGGATTCCGACTAAATTCTATGCGCATACATCTATGTGATATGGTAGTCATAAATCATATGTACACACCTAATAATAGAATATCCAACAGACCGTAGTAAATGTTGTTCTAGTAAAAAAAAATAGATAAAACTTGACGCTCATAATCAGCTAAAATGGCACACACGAATAAAGAATAGAATAGAATAGAAAATCATTTATTCAAATAAACTCACATTGAAGCATTTTTGAATAGTCATCACATTTTCTTTAATCTACCGCAAATTCGGAAAGCTGTCTCATCACAAGAAGAACTAGCAAGAAACTTGTGTGTTGCTCTTTTAAATAATTTTATTCTTACTTTACAATTTAAGTTTAAGTGTGTGAATACAAACTACCGATTAGCACTAATTCAATTAAAGAAATAGAAGAATAAATGATTTTCATTTGTGTAAAATTTCAATTACACAGTTTATTCCTTTTTAAAAGGCCGACAACGTACTTGCAATTCCTCTGGTGTTGCGGGTGCTAATGGGCGGCGGTAATCACTTACCATCAGATGAGCTGTAAGCTCATTTGTCCCCTATAAAAAACCACAGTGCAAGCTTGTATTATGGGTATTAAACAACTGATATAAATACATAGATACTTTATTTGTAAATACTATATAGGTTACCAAACTCCTTGCATTAAGTAGCCATACAACACGGGTACATAAATAATAAATCCATTATTAATAAAGAAAAACATTTCATAAAAAGTATATTGTCAAAATGTCAAATTCATTCACTTAAAAATTACTGATTTAAAAAGATGTTACATTAATTATTATTTCTTATTTTTAATTCTGATATTATATACACCGTCATATATTCAATCTTTTATTAATATAACTCCTTCTGTTATCAACACGCCAACCAAACCACAACTATAATGATACATACATAGATACGTAACATACATACACAACACCCATATCAACACAAACAATCAATCTTAAATATAAATGTTTGCAGACTGGAATCTAACCCGCGACCATCGGAAGTAAAGTGGTGTGCATAACCACTAGACTACCGAGGTCGTCAAAAATTTTAAAGCAAAAAGTAACCTCCCCGGCGGGGAATCGAACCCCGGTCTCCCGCGTGACAGGCGGGGATACTTACCACTATACTACCGAGGATTACACGAATCATTGCGAAATTAAGCATCTAGCGGAGCTCCAATTTGCTTGTTAACATTGATTTATTTTTAACTAACTACTCGCCCCGATTTCGCACGGGTTTACATATGTTATATATATAAACCTTCCTCTTGAATCACTCTATCTATTAAACGTTTCAAAATCGGTTGGTTAGTTTTAAAGATTTAAAAATACATAGGGACGGACAGACAGCGCCTTTGTTTTATACTATACTAGCTGTTCCCGCGACTTCGTCCGCGTGGAATTTAACTTTAATTTTCTAAAATAAAAGTAGCCTAAGTTACTCTTTACCACATCAGCTACCTGCCAAAAAAAGTCCCGTCAAAATCGGTCCAGCCATTTCAGAGATTACCCGGAACAAACATACCGACAGACAGACAGACAAAAATTGTAAAAAATGTTATTTTGGTGTATGAACCGTATTTAAATTCATATGCATGTAGTAAAAACGGTTATTTCATTATTTATTTATTAAATTTTATTTATATGTATAGATGACATTTATTCAAAAGAGCAACACTGGAGAACAACAACATTTTTGCTCATTCTTCTTGTGATGAGTCTGCGTTCCGAATGAGTGGTAGAATAAAAAAAATTTACCATTCCAAAGTGCTTACATTAAGATTACACAGTAGGAGGCATACGATAATCAACATAGAAACCGCTACGCACTCATTCTTAGTGCAATCAGATAATATTGTCAGCGCTATGGATTTTAAGTTATAATTTTATATAATTAAACTGATAGCACAATGTTGTGCACATTCCATTATCATCCTTTAAAAAATATATATATAAAATTATCTCGTCACAGTTTTCGTGTTTATACTCCTCCAAAACGGCTTGACTGATTTTGATAAAATTTTATATATTCAGTAGATCAGATAATAGGTAACTAATTTTTATACCCCTAAGTATTAAGGGTAGCTCACCCCAAAAATTGTTTTTTTAATTTTTTTCCCAAATAGTTTTATTTTTTATTATGTGGCTTCAAGAAATACATACATTTAGCCTTAAATTTTCTCCCTTCTACTACCAACCCCTATTTTTTAATAGCCATAGGGCCGGGACAGCTAGTATATACATATAAGTATATAGGCATATAGTTCTAACTTGTAACAAACAATCCTGGCCTTACCTCACTTTGTCCTTGTCTGACCTACTGCCGTGTAGGTAGTTACATGAGACACGAGATAAAACAAACTAACGACTAGTTAATCCAATAAAAAGAACATTTCCAGCCATTCCCTCCAAAAATCACGATATTTATCTTAATTCTTCTCGTTGCCAACTTAATACAACACTGCTATTACACAATAGCTTCTACGTGTACAGCATAAGGTTGGTAATAGGTCGAATGTTTGTATGTTACATCGTAATTGTACTGTTGACAGTATCTCCTGGACAGTTTTGGTAGTAAACAGGGTTGTCAAAAACGTCGGAGATTTTTGGTCTTTGGTCCCTTATGTTTCCCAACAAGTGATACGCGTACCCCCAGGGGTACGTGAAGTTCCATCAAGGGGTACATGCGGCTATCATTAAAAATAAGAACCATTTCCAAAATATTATTTCATAACGATTATCATCGTAAAAGCCACGCGCCTGCCACATCTCGTCATTGGGCTGCCCTCTTACTCGTCACACGTTCCGGCTTCACGCCAGTTTGGTTTTTGTCGTAATATTACTGATTGCTTCAATAAGGAGTACGCAAGGTTTGAGGCTTTTTTGAAGTGGTACGCAGCAAGAACTAATTTGGTACCACTGGTCTATTCGAACAAAAGAAGAAAACCTTCGAGAAATGAGCTTCTTTCATAAAAGGCCGGCAACGCACTTGCAAATCCGCTGGTGTTGAGTGCTCATATGCAGCGATAATCACTTACCATCAGATGAGCCGCAAGCTCGTTTGTCAGCTATGACATAAAATAACAATGTTGTTAAATTTTATACGAAATATTTGAACTGCCGAAAATGAGTAAATTTTACACTGCAGCAAAAATTTTGTAGTACAACCCAGTCGCTATTATCTATCTACTACGCGTATATATCTACTATATAGAAAATGTGTAATAATTCGAGACACTTAACGATGAATCTTCTGTTCTGAAGTCGCTTGTTCCAGTTCGTTCGCTCTTTTACTTAAATTCTTCGTATAATAGTCAGAAATACGGAACGATCAATTCAATTTTGAACTCTCACGTTCACACTCACATTCTAGTTCTGAAGTTCTTGTTCGATCCTTTATTT